CATTAGTTTGGAAGAAATTACTTGATCACTGTGAATTTCGGCACGTATTTCCATATAACTATGGCAAAAACAAACGATGACAAAATTCCAACAATTTTCACGAGCTAAACGCTATCGTTAGGTCCTAATGAATACGTGTACTAAGTTTCATCGAGTTAAGTTTATTAGTTTGAGAGATATTCCTTGATCATTGAATTTTGAAATTGACCGCGAGTCCGGCCGTTAATATGTCCGAGATGTAAACCCAGGAGAGGTTAAAAAATATAACTAAGTACTCACTGCAGTGAATGAAAGAGAGAGCATTTTCTCGTCGACGAAAACTTGAGGTCACGGACGGACGGACAGACGGACGGACAGACAGATAGACGGACATGGCGAGCACAATAGTGCATTTTTCCATAAATAAGAAAATGGGCTAAAATCTGATTGAGAACTTGAAAAAAATCGTTTAACTTATCAACCGTAGTGTTCCATGCCGCACTATGGCTTGTAGTGCGTAGTGCTACTTCAAAGTGCTAGTGCCCTATTTAGCATGCCAACCGTAGTGTTCCATGTCGCACTACGGCTTGTAGTGCATAGTGCTACTTCAAAGTGCTAGTGCCCTATTTAGCATGCCAACCGTAGTGTTCCATGTCGCACTAGTACCGCACTACGGCTTGTAGTGCGTAGTGCTACTTTGTAGTTCGTAGTGCTAGTGCCCCATTTAGCATACGGGCCATCGTCGATTAGGTGTATTCGTTAGGTTTTTAACTATTCGTTCTCATGAATTTAGATTATCATGCAAGATTGTAAGATATTTAGTAGCTATATTATTTTATGTGCTATAAAAATTTTGTTGAAAATAAAATTATTATTATTTATGTGAATATTATTTCATAATCGAAATATTATCTTCATAATTTACCATAAAAAAAACTTGAATGTACTAATAAAAACTGCTTTCAATTTAAAGATCACTCGACTCCGTTATATGTAAAAATTGGTTTTGGTTTTGAATCAAAATGGCTCTTTCAACTTTTCAAGTAATAAAAATTAAGAGCTGGCATCGCTAAGCGGGTGCAATGATCGGGTATTTGTGTTGCCAGATTATCTTCACGCTGTGAGGGATTCGTTTCACCAGCCTCAGGTTTGTATTGCTCAGTAAGTCAAATTGAAGGAATTTTCTGGCATTCAAATGAGATTTATTTCTCAAATCCATGTATCTTGACAACAGCTTACAAACTAGAAACTATTCATTTGTTCGAATATATTTATAGATGTTGCGTCACGCTCCTAGATTGGCGGTCGGCGGTTCGTTCGCGCATTCCACATTTCCCATGCAATCGTATTTGCACTCAAGCCACTGCTGATCGAGAATGTGGAACTTTTCTCTTACATGCTGACTGCTGTCATGCTCGGCCATCACGTCTAGTACCTACTGACCTTGCACAAACAATGACAGCTTTCTATGCCAAATTTCCAAGAAGTCCAACACAAACTTAACTAAGCTCAGCTGCTCAGGCCCAACGGACAACGGTCATACATGACCATGTTTTGGTTGTCCTGACTGCTGACTTGTGCAATGTCCAGTGTGCCCCCAACAATGAACAGCCCAAAGACCTAAGTCAAATTGGCCCAAGCTGCAACACTTGTATAATTGTGTTGCTGGCTCTCAGGATTCTAAAAACATTATTTTTTAAACATAGGTACTATGAATTGCGTGTACCACAGTGTTTTTCTGGAAAGATGCAAACAGCTTTCAATTTCAGAATTCTGCTTTGTACTTGTTAGTTATACTCAAACTTAGCTACCTAGCTAGTTGTTAGTTGTTACCAAACTGGAGAATTAGGCTGGTGCCACAGTGCCACTTGTGATGTGATACAGTGATTGAGGCAAAAATTCCTGTGCTTTTGGACAATTTCTCCAGCTTATGAAGCCCTTGGCTATGTTGCTTAATTTATTTTGTTATCCTAATGAAGAAAAATGACAAATTGGTTTTCAAAAATCACCTGCAAAATATGGTAAACGTGGTATATTCCAAATTTCCGACACTTTGAGGACATAGCAAAAAATGAATGGCTGTAAAAAAATCACCGTACACGCAACTCGAGTTCTGTTTGCTTTACGTCACTCTCCAGTCTCCAAACACTGCACTGCACTATGTGGCGTATAGGCCAGCAACAATGAAACATCACAAAATGTTGCCATATTTATTTAAAAGTCTTTGGAATGCAAACCTACCAAATCCTGAAATCCATATATTCTGACACAGTGTCACAGTGCAACACTGTTTGTGACTAAATTTGGCATTTTGTGAGACTACCTAATTCCGGCCGCGCTCTAACTCTAGGTACTAATTTGTAATTCCGACACTCTTGTGTTCAAATTCCAATCGCTGTGTGAGCTGTATTGGAATATGACACAGCTTGGAATTAGAACACTATTGAATATTGAACACTACTTATTTAGGCTTTTAATTAAGAGCTATTAAGCTTTTAATTAAGAAAATTTTCATTTTTTCGCACAGATTGAAACAAGCTGTGTGTGTCTAATTCCAAGCTGCGTCGGAATTCATTTTTATGTGTCTATAGCTGTCTCTTAACTTAATCATCTATTAATTTATTTATGACTTGAAATCAGCAAATACAAGTATACTTGAATGATTCCTAATATATTCAGACTTATTTAAAAGTCTCAAACCATAATATTCTTTCTACACAAACAGTTTATCACTATTTGGTAGAGCAAGGTCAACTATCAACTTTGACTCATTTTTCGATGTTCTCAATGGGTGACGTGCACTGTCTCTCTTTGGATCTCAACATTTTCCCGCCAGACGGCCCAGACCTAGTGTTTTGGTGATAGTATGGCGCGCAAGAGTATGACGTCACTATTTCGACCAACAACAATAAAAAACCTAAGAAAAAGCTTAATATAAAGGAAAAAAGTCAAGAAGTGTCGGAATTACCCATGATGTCAGAATATACCGCGTTTACCTTATGAATTATTGGATATCTCCATGTCAAAGTCAATTTAGGAGTTATCAAATTTTGTCTAAATTCTTGAGCACTGTTTTAGCAATTTTTGTTGCCACTGATAGAGAAATACATTTTACAAATTTTGTTAGTGATTATTTTATGGTAGGCATTAGGTAGCCCTTTATAAACTTTATGTTAAACATTAATTTTATCTTTGGTTTTGGTATAAATTAAACATGATAATTTAACATTTGGTCTTTTTTAATGTTGCATAATTTGGCCTCTTAACTGAAAACTACAATTACTAGCTTTAAAAGCTGTTTTTAATTAATAGTATATACATAAGTACTTTAGTAGTACGGTACTCATGAGGTGAAGTTCAATACAAAATTCTAATGTCACAAGCACATTGTGTCAGTGCTAAGTGTAATTCTTTAAAGGATATGGGAAAAAATGTGTTTTTTTATAGTCTGAGACTATATGTAGACCGATCATTTCTGCTGTATAAATGCTTGTTTCAAACTGAAATATTGGTCCAAGTCTATAAAATGGGTAAATTTTCCATGAGCTTGGGCGTTTGGTCTCATTCATGGGTGGCTTCTGCCAAATTTGACAGTTTGGTTGTGGTTCATGTATTCATGTTTCTAAAACATAATTCATACATTTTAATTCAAAGTATTACATAGAATTCCACCTTGTATATACTGTCATGATGAGCTTAATTTTAGAATTCAAACTTTTTACTAAAAAATATGGCTCCAATGTAAAATATTATAAGTAAGTTTCAAATTTTGTGGGTCAAACAAGCAGTTTATTAACTATTAGGTAAGAGTTCACTAAATAATATCTAATGCTAACTAGTCTTGTGGCTCTAAAATGGCAAGAAAGCTCTATTTATGGCTCAGAAAGTAGATATTTTACACACTCGATGGATGAATTTTTAGTAATGGTTGTCCACTACATCATCAGAGTCTGATGATGTAGTCAACAACCATTACTAAAAATTCATCCATTGGTGGAATTCCATGAATTTTGGTTCATATATTCAAGATAGATCCAGCCTGGTGACTTGATTAGGTCCAAAATATGACTGGAGTACCTATTAAAGAAAAAGGTAATTTTAGATTTTTAATTCCATTAAGACAGGTGCACTTTTTCCTATATACATTACCACTCACAAGTTTCAACCTGCTCCATACTGTGAAAACTGACATTTTTTCAAGCTTTCCATCAAGCCATCTTGAGTTTAAATTGGCACATGTTTAATTGCAGGCGGACTTGACACAAAATATCAATTGATTCATCACAGCATGAATTGCTGAAAATTGTCATGGATATGCAAAAATGATGGCCAATTGGTGTCCATAACCCATATTCATTTTAATGTATTGATTGTAAACTTATTTTCTGCATTTTAATTCTTAGTATACAGTTGATTGATGGTAGATATATGCTCTAATTTTATCTGCATCTAGATTATCTTGGCAGTTTCTGATTTTATTCAGTAAGTCTTTGAAAATGGAGAATGAGATACTTCTTTGTACACTGAACAATCTTTTTTTTAATATAAATGCAGTTTATCTTACATTTTGGGAGCAATCAAATTTCCAGAATTCCAGTAATGGTGGTTTGTCTATTTAATGTTAATTTGTCACTTCCTAAAAAACAAAAATACGTCAACTTGACTCGGAATATCATGTAGTAAATGTCAATCAGTCACTAGTTAGACCCAAAAATACGAGCAATATCTTGATCAAAATGGCGGTTGGATATCTTGTCTGCTATTTTTAATGTAAAGGGAAATCATTATTGACCCTGCCCGGGATGTGTAGTGATTTATTACTGACAAAAAAAAAAATGATCTTGTTGATTCATTTTGGCTAATAAGCAAGTTGAAATCTAGTCTAACATAGCAGAAATATTTAATTGACTAGTAATTCTTTCTCATCTTCAGAACAGATGAATTTATTTGAATAATTTGGATTGTTTCAGGAAGGGGTAACCAGTTCACTAGTTTGGGAAGTGGACAGAAACCTTTTCATGATGTCTCCTATCAGAGGCCGCAGTCGTAGTGCCAATTCTAATGACAGGCAGACATCAGACAACTCTGACAGCCCTTCATACAAAGAGTAAGTTCATAAATTTTCATAATGAAAGTTAGTCCATGTCATGGTTGAAAAATGAATTTATTAAACTAGTGAAATTCTTTACTTAAATTTTCATATTTAACTATTTTGTTCCCAATGTTATTTGTTACTGTTTATATTGATACATACTATGTTGTCTCATTAATATGTGTGCAAACCAAAGCTAATGCTAAAATTATTATTCTAAGAAAACGCAATCGTAACAACCAGGCAGTAAAGAAGTCTCGAATGAAAGCTAAAAGCCGCACCACAGAAATGGAGGGCAGAGTGAAGGTGCTAAAGGAAGAAAACGACAAGTTACAAACCAAAATAGAATTTTTACAAGAGGAGCTTGAGAGGTTAAAAAACACCTTCATCAATCATGCAGGTAAGTGGTATTTTCTCTACTCCTAGCACTCATACAATACCAATTTCAACAAATCAATATTTCTGTGGATTGCATTGAATTTGATTTTAGTGCTTGTTTTGTTTCATGCAAGTTTGCTGATATTCATATTGAATGTTTGTCTTATTCACATGTTGTTTTTCATCCTTTAAATCATTTTTAGAATCATACACTGCATTCTTTCACTCGAGTGAACAAAACCCTTAGGTTTACTCTTATTTGGCTTAGCAAGAATCTGGGCTATCATCGAAGCAAGTTTTGACAGTGAATTGATCATCAAATTGTTATCATACCTATTTGGATATAAGAATATTTATGAACTCATCTTCCAATATTAAATCAGTTTATTTCATTGCATCTAATAACCTGATTGAGTAGATGTAAAATTCATTCAATAAATCGTATTCGTTGTCACATGAATGTTTATCATAGAATTCTGGTTAACTGAGAATGAAATTAATAATTGGCCTTTAAGAATTTCATCCTTGGAAGGCTTTATTGTTTTATTTTTTATGTGAACGTATTTTTTGCAGATACTAAACACGGCGTTGACATCAACCCTGAAGAGTTGGATTCAGTTTTGGAAGCAACGGGACCTGGTGCTGTATCTGACACAGTGCAGCGCCTCATCCAACATGTTGAGGGAGCAGCTAACAGCAGTCCAGCTTGGCGATAGCTTAGGCAAACTAGAGTTAGTCCAGAAACTAGTCTCTTGTTTTTGGACTTCTCCCTTGAGACATGTTTCCTTGCCACACATGTACACCAGTTCATTCATGGATTTATCTCTATATGTATGGTGTGTGCCTATTTGAAGTTCCATTTAATTGCTCTACAAAATTTTTTTTTAGATTCCAATTCCCACAGAAAATTAGAAACATTTTTTCTATCTAGTTACTAATATTCTAAGTTGTTTCAACATTTTGAATAATTTTACTAAATTCAAATGTGGTCATTCTTAAATTATTGCCATCCAACATTTATGCTTATCAATTTGAAAAATTAAACAAGAATGAAAACGATATATTTGCATTCATGTTGGAGTAAATAGAATTGTCAAATCCCTTCCACAGGTTTCCTGCTTAATTTCTAAAGTTTCTTGAAATACTTGACAAACATCTTTTTGCATCATCAAGTTCAACTACAAATCATTTGTACAAAACTTCTCTTAAGAGCTCTGCTCATGCCGTTAACTACTTGCATAAATTGCCTTTGGGCATTTTTATGATCGCTCTAGCATCGGGAGAGTTGCATTCCAGCGTCATTCAAGTGAGGTTTAGGCTGAACTGAAATGAACATTAATTGCATATCCATTGAAGGCACTGGCGTATGTGACCGCAGCCTGAACTAATTGTACTGCAAATATTGTGCCGCGAGTGTTGTCTCAACGCCTCATGTTATATTTGTGTGGATTAATGTCAACACTTCCCTAGCATTTATTTCATATGAAGGTACTGATTTTTTTGCTCAATTTAGCGCTCAATAGTGATTCTGCCACTGACTGAAGTGACTTTTGCTACTTAAATTCAGTAGTACTTGTGAAGTACGAATTAATTGAGGATCTCAAACTTTCCTATCAAAGTGTTTGCAGGAACTGAGAATATCCAACTTTGTAAGTCGAATGTACGATTGGTTTGGTGAACTGGTAGGAATAAAATTCCAGGTTGCACCCTTGATAAACTCGAGTGATGAAAGTCTTTGAGTTATTCATGATGGTGAACTGTAAGTTGAATTCTCTGAGGTATTCGATTCAATTTTCGATTTCATCGCGAAGTGCTATGAATTCTAGTGATCATGTTGCAGAGAACCTAAGTATTATTTGCAAGATGTTTTGTGGCTTGTGTGTCCCACAGAACATACATGCAGACCTCTTGCAGTTATGAGCTGCTGCTGATCGTGGCCATATCCCTGCTCCTCACCGTCACTTATGTCCAAGTTATCTCACTTTTGTTATTTTCCATCAAGCTAGAGAGTGAGATTCCGACTTAGTTATTTCTGTAAGTTTTTATAGCATTTCTCCTAAATTCATAATTTTAAAGTTATTTAATTCTCATCGAATTCGCAATTTGTATTTTAAAACGATTATCATCGCATTGATGTTGTTAGTGAAGTTTCTCTTTGAGCTAGAGAAAATTTTGACCAAGCATTCATTGTCAAGTTTCATTTGAGTTTATTCTATCTTGTCTTTATTCGTCGTAATTTGTTGTTACGCCTTGAGCCGAAAAACGTGCGATGTTCAATACTCTTTGTAACTAAATAAAAATTTTGTCTTTGCTAATAAGCGTATTGTTTTTACTTTTAAGCGATTTTAAACTCTTAAGCTATTTTAATTGTAAGGTGTTCAGCTGCTGTAAATTTGTCTCGTCTGCTACCAGTAATTATTCAAGATAATGAAGAATTGCTTGACTGATAATAAGTCTTGCTGTATCCGAATATTCACCGTCAGTCGCTCATCATTGTAATAAAACTTTACGATGGGAGGACTGAATCTAGGCATTTGACACGAGACCCATGTTGGCTCATTTGTTATGGATTTACTTTCATTTTTACCGAGATTGCGACATTTCCACTGAAGATAAGTGGTATGTAACCACTAACATGTATCTGTTACATGAATAAATCTCTTTATTTTACGGTTGCATAGATTTGCAATGATTGATTCAAGCAACAAAACGTGAACGTATGAGTACCTTGTTGATAATGTCGTATTATCGCTGCCCTTCTGATAAGAGCATGCACTGAAGATGACAAATTGTACAATATGTATGATATAGACAAGTGTTAGCATACTAATTTAAAATTTTTTAATGGCTTGATTGACGCCATTCCAGAGAGGCCTTACTTGCCCTATCCAGTTTTAGCAAGTATTACTCCATCCTTATAAGGCATTCACATACATCCTTTGGTTTTCTTTAGAATTTGTTTGGCCGATCGTTTATGAAGTTAAAGAAATGCCGTGTTCTTGAAGGTATTGTTTTACTGTGTTATAATTTCCAGGTTTCGATGTGAAACAATGCTCCGATGGCCTCACAAAATTTCTCGGGTTGCTAGTGTTAATCCTGGTTTTGGATGATCTGAGGGAAGGTATTCATCATTACACTTGAATTTTTTTATTACAAGTAAATTTATCTATAGTTGAGGGTGTGCAATTTTCGATTTCATCAATAAGTACTTACATAATTTAAATATAAGGTTGAATGAAAATGTGACCCAGATCGTGTGTAACACGCTTCATTTCGAATTGCTCTGTGGAATAGGGTTTACCGTAAAAATTTCTAACTGCTAAAGTTGTGCTCTTAATTTTTTTAATTGTGTGTTGCTTTTCTGGTTAATCGAGTCGTTCAATGTACATGAACTCGTAACTCATTTCCTGATGAATGTGAATTTAGTTGCTACAAGTGTTGCAGGATTTTATTTAATAATAATTATAGTGTTTGATGCTTGTGTTAACTTCTATCGTTAAGCAATACACCATTACATAACTTGAACTTGTTTCAATTCAAGTTTTTTTTTCGGCGATGTCGGTGCACGTTATTTTGATGAAAATTATTATAAATATATATGATAAAGTCTGCGTTGACGATAAGAAAGGCTATGGTTGGCCTATCGCCGATTCTACGGTTAGACATCGCAAAAGTTATCGCTCGTTGGGTATCTACCACTAAGTGTCATAAACTGATTCGATTTTGCATTTTCTAGACTGCCAGACCCCTTACCAATTTCATCAAGAAAATTTTCGCAGCTGAGCTGAGGCTCGCAGCACTGCGGCAGTAACTCGCCTCTCGTGTCTAGGTGACGGTAAACCAAGTCTGCCCTGCTTTCATTGGTTAAATCTTTAATGTGTTTAGTAGCCGCTATCGCCTCTCTCTCTTCATAGCACTATATTGTGTCAAAATTAGTTGTAAGATGAATAAATTTTACGATTTTCACTGTACACAAGTTTTCTATCTTGATACAGATTCCATCTTCACATTGTTGTTTGACCTTTGCCTTTTCTTTCGCCCAACTATCACCGGCTGGACCCAGAAACAAGAAGTGGCAAGATAATAGTGGCGCGCTGACATAAATAAAGTACTGCTCGGGCTGGGAGTAGGAGGTATTTTCTTTCGTATCCAAGTCTTAAAATCAAAATCAATCTTGACAATCAAATAAGTTTTGACAATTACTAATAATTAAGTCCACGTCATTTGAGATTTTCTCCTCCCGATTAATTATTTCCAAGCCTACCTACAATTTGCCAGATAATCGACATTCCAGCTGAAGCAACGGCGACTCGTTTGTTATGATTTATAATTTATAGCAAATAATGAGTTTTCACGAATAAAAAAATGCCTAGTAAATTAAATATGGCCTTAATAATTACCTAAATCAAGTTATTGTTATTGTAAATCTTTTTAAATTGACAGATCATTGAAAAGAGCTACCTCACTTGTTCTTTTTTTCGTAGTTCGTACCATTGTCCATTCTGTGGCCGGATCGTCGTTTGAAGTTCTATAAATTGGCGCGTGATTCAAGTTTTTATGTAATAACAGCTATGAAATCTCAAACTAACGTTGACTATTGTGAGATTTAATTTCGTTGTAGTCTTACAGTTTGTGGTGTCTAATTTATGTTTGATATTTGGCACAATATTTTATTGTGAGTTCTAAATTTTCGAGTGCAGCGCGTTTTCGTAGGTAGGCTAGTTTACCGTCCGTAGCTCTTATTTCAGTCGAAATCGAATTTCACGATGGCAAAATTTCAACGTTGCAAGCGGCAAAAATTAATTCGATGGCCAACTTTTGGGAAGCTTGAAGTTTTAAGTGAAATAAAGAAAATAATTAGTGTAAATCAGTTTTGTATCCTTGACGACTGACTACCTAATTGTTATATCAAGATCATTTGGAGTCAGATCAAAGCAGAATGGAATTAGTTCTACCTTCAAGCTTCAACCTGTCAACAAGAATGAGACCTTTTTGTTTGAACAATAACAATTAGAACTTTAGAAGTATTCATCTATACTGTTCAGTGTTGAGAACTTCAGATAATCAGGGTTTCAACTTTCATGTTGCCTAATGATATATGCATAATCTGGATTTCAAATTGAACTTGAAGGAGAATATAGAAAGCTCTCTGCTTTGCCACTATGCAAATTAGCTAGCAGGAGAAATGACTCATGTTAGACATAGGCTTGCGCTGCTTGCCTTGGTAAGTAATAATAGACCAAGAGACGAAAAGAGGAATGGTCCGAATGGATGATAACACTTAACCAACAGTCCAAGTCCAACACTACCTAGGTAGTAGGTAGTACAGGGCTACAGGCCTGGTCCTGGTCAGGCAATGCCGCTGGCTGGCATGCTGCCACAGTGTGCAACCTGCTACAGGGATCAAATGGGATGTCATAGAATGAATTCAATGAAATAAAGAAATAGATAAGAGAGTGATTTTGTCTGTCTATGACTGAGTATGGAAGCAAGAAATAAAAAAGGACAGCATGAGATTATACAATATGAAAGAGATGCCAAACTTCCAAAGCGTGAGACAGTACTCACGGCACCAGAGTACATAGGGTAAACGCGGTATATTCCGACATTGTAGGCATAGTGGCAAACCAGAGGTTTTTCAGAATCAGTTCATTTTAAATTTCCTCACTTACTCAAGATTTAAACCAATTTCTCAAGTATGATAATGCTGGTATCAAGGATACTTTACTGGTCTACTTATAGGACAGTAGGACTCAAAAGTGAACTTGAGACTCTTGAGAGAAAGTCTAAAAAAGTCTCTGCTTTGCCACTATGATCGTAGGTAATTCCGTCACCTCTCCAGCTTTTCCTTTATATTAAGCTTTGTTTTAGTTCCATGCGTTTGTTGATGGTTGAAATGGTGACGTCATTAGACTGCATTATCACATGTTCAGTTGACACTTGCTGTACAATCAGATTGTTTTTAGGGTAAAATTAGTTATTTGGGGTAACACGTGCATGCAATCTTGCAAATAAGTTCGTGGCTTGTAAATAGTTTTTCATTACTCAGCATAAATGGCTTTTCATTAAAAATTACCTGGCGATGCATCTTAAAATTACCCGGCGACGCTTAGGGCTTAAAAACCCATATATTGGTGACGCTGCATCCACCCTCTGCACCATGGGAGGTGGAGACTCTAAGACTGCAGACTGGAGACCTAATTAGGCTAATGTTCTGTGTCTGTGTGAGAGTGAATGCTTTGAGTGTGAATGCAGGGACATACAGATGGAATGAAAGAAGAGAAAATATTTGTTTTATGTGTGATAGAGAGAGGTGAGAGGGAAACTGTGGAGCATCTGAATGATCTGATGATGGAGTCATTGGATGATTGGAGACTGGAGTGTGATGCTATGAGAGGGAGAGAGTAGAAATGATGAGACTTGTGAGTCATGAGATGAGAGTGATACTAGATGAGAGGAAGAAGGGTGATGGTGTGATGTATGAGCAAACAGGAGATAAATGCAATATATTGCAATTTGCAATGATAGTGGGCTTGTCAACAAGGGTGACTGCTGGCTGCTGCTATGACTATGGAAAGTGCACTCCATGTCATACTCCATGACTTTTGGAAAGTGCATGGAGGGCAAGCCAGCAAGGGAGAGGAGGAGGTTGGCAAGAGTGGAGGCCAGGAGGGGGGGCAGTGCCTGTAAGAAACAAAGCAATAATAAAATAAGAGTAACCAAACCATAATAATTTAATATAACACAAATAGTCATTCAGGGCCTAAGAGGGCCCCATAGCTAATGTAAATGTCAACTAATTGGGATGTATGGCAATAATTGGAATATAGCAATAATAAACCAACTAAATTTCCTCTTGAATTTCTCTTCTCCTTGTTTTCATCTCACCCTTAACAGGAACTTTCACTCCCCTCTAGGCTCTAGCCTCTCCTTTAATGTTTCTTCCATCTGACTTGGTCTACATTTCTTCCTTTCCAATAACAAATGAATATGCAATGTATGGCTGATGGACTATGGCCATTGCAAAGGACTGACTGGAAATTAAATTTGGGCAGAAGCCACAAATGAATTGGAAAAAATAAAAACCCCTGTGAATCTGGCCAATTTCTCCCATTCCTTTGACCTTTTCCTCACTTTCCAGGAAAAATATGAAAAATGGCCTATGCTATTGAGCTATTGTGTATTGAGTATTGTAAGTATTGAGTAATGGTTTAAATAACCAGTTATGCAATCTCTTTTACCTGTAGGCTGCGATTTTAGAAAATTGCTGCCCAGTATTCAAACTTGACTCTCAGACTGCTCTATATTAGTTATTATTTATGTATTTATATTATTCTTGAAACAATTCATGTTCCTGTTTGGCTCATCTGGTCATTAATCTCCAATTCTGGAAAGATTTACTTGTGAATTTGTCATGTGTGATTTTTTTCTGATCTATCATATGCTTACCTCATCAGTTCCACTGAGTATAATTAATTTATTTTCATACAAATAAATTGAATTGAAAATGAGTCCAGAGAAAAGAAAAAGTAGATCAAGCTCTAAAATTAACAATGATTCCGCTGCCCCAATCTCTTCTCGACCAACTACTCAGAGTCAGAGTGCACAAAAAGTTTTCTTCTTGAACAGTGAGTTAACAGTATGATTTCTTTTAGTGGTAATAATATGAGTGATGTTCATTTAAATTTTGCCACTGACTATCAATTCCTTTCTGACCAGGTCCTAGACTGTCTTGGTAATGTAGAATTTGAGATTTTCCTACCAAAGAATGATTAGTGAAACCATGGCAAAAGGCAGAAGGTTGTGTGTGATATACTTTTTTAGTGGTGATTAAAAGTATATTTTTAGACTAATTTCTATGTCTAGAAAGCTCTTCTTTGCATCTTAAGTATGAAAATGCATGCATTGTGTTTTAACTTTATAGATTATAATGACCTTGTATTATTTTGCTAATGTGTGTTTGGTTTGGTCAATGTTAGAACTTGTTATTGTCAGTAAATTTGATTCAAAATATTCTAATTATATCATGGAAATTTTCTTTTTAATTAAGTCTGTAATTTCTGTTTCCAGGTGAATTGTTGAAAAGTCGAGGGATCAAAGCAGTGCAGTTACGACATCCCCGCACTGACAGTGCAGCAATGTATTTCCTGTCTGTAGATTCCTCCAATATGAATATTATTTCTGAAGTTAATGTTTTTGATGAAGGAAACAGGTTGGAATTGTATTTTAAATTAATCTAGTTATAGAAATGGAAAATATCTTAATTTTTGGCATCTAAGCAGCTTCCATTTGTGAGATTCATAACTGTGAACATATGTAGCTCATCAATATTAAAATATTCAGCTGATTCAGTATTACAACAATAGGTAGAAGCATACAACATACCTCTAAGTTAAAAGTGGTTTCATCTGACATACAATTACAAATGATTTTCATTATCTGAAAACATTATTGAAATTTTCGATGTAAATGTAATAATGTCTATGCATACATCAGTGGTTCCCAAACTTTTGCAGGCTGGCATCCCCTTGGCTACCCAGTGAATTTCTAGTGCCCCACTCCCCACAGACAGATAATATTCACATAGCGGACCCCCACAGACACACAAAAGCCCAGATTTTGAATATTTGAAAAATATACACTAGAAACTCAGGATAGGTTAAAAATCTGAAATCTGGGTGGAAAAATTCATTGCTGGGAGCCATGTGCTGCATGTGATGTGTACAAATTGCCAAAAGACGTTTAAACTTCAGAAGTTGACTACGGACTACTGCCCACCTATTGCCCTCTTCTTCCTCCCAAGATCTTATGTGTATGAAACAGAATTAGAATGAGTGTCAACTAGGAACTTTGTTGACTTTGTGCAAATTTTAAATTATGCTATATAATCTGATTGCAGGAGCTGGTTTATGGGAGAGAGCATTATTTCTGATGGTAAGATCTACTTAGGAACCCCCTACAATGCAGTGTACCTCATACTCCCCTATCTTATGAAGGTAAGAAGATGTTAACTTGATGCATTCTACTTCACTGAGCCAAATGATATTTTTGGCATCCTTCCTTATTTTCTCATTCTTTTTTTAAGTCTTCCTGAGGGAAATTTTTGTATCAAAGAGGTACACAACTTGTGTACTGATAGGAGATGAAACTTTTATAGAAATGACTATAAAAGTCACTGTATGTACAGTAGGGGTCATTTATTTATCACTACATATTGTGTGATTTTTCAATTTTCACATTCATATTAAAAAATATTTTTCAAGCTTTGCTGATGGCCAATTCTTTTCTGTCCCATTTTCAATAATACAAAAAGTTTTCTTAAAAAATGGGCAAAATGATGTTTTTCTGCCAGTTGATCTGTATTTGTAAACTTTCCTCTTATAAGGTATTTTTTTTCTGTAGAATACATTTTACCTTGAGATAGATATTTGGAAGCCTTATGGTTACAAATGAAAATCATACTCCTTAATGAGCCAAGGAAGAAATTTCATTTTAAATATTGACAGGCTGAGCAAAATGTCCCATTGGATCAGCTGCTTGAAGATGAAGAATTTCCATCAGCCATCCAGCTAGCTTCATGCAGCAATTTGTGTTTGAAGAACGTTGCTGATGCCAAAGGTTGTTATTGCAGCTGTAATAAAAACCTGCCAAATTGTTACCTTCATGGTGCATTGCTTGTTAGCCTTAAACAATTTCCTTCAATTTCTAGTAATACAGTTCTAGCTCATCTCCAACTCCCATGTCAACGAAATGTCTTCAGTGTAGCTCATCTCCAACTCCCATATCAACGAAATGTCTTCAGTGTAGCTCATCTCCTACTCCCATGTCAACGAAATGTCTTCAGTGTTGCCAGTTTTGACATAATTCATGTTTGAAATTAGCTCATGTTGATATATATGTGAATGTTTTCATAATTATTCATACGACCGTTATTAGAGTTCATTTTGTCTGCTTACTCACAAAATGAGAAATCATCAGCATTCGTTCATGTGTCCTAATGTTTTCCCCCTAACCTCCTAGGTTCCTCTGACCTGAACGTATGGAAGTACAACGAAAAGAAGACTTTATCTTGGTTGGAGGCTCGCACCCGCAACATGGCAGCAGTGCTCATGGCGAAGAAGGTACCCACAACTACCGCGCAGGCATTGACCTTTGTGCGCACCATGGATCAGCAGCACACCAAGGGTAGCTTTAACTAATTATCAATTAATCTAAATAGTAGAATTGAACCTCAATTTATTATTCCTGACAATTATTACTAAATAGTTACTTGATAATTTGATATTGAATTGATAGAACGAAATATTACCGTTACAGCACTACGGGAAAAATTGGTCTCAGGAAAGACTGCTTTGAATAGTGAATGGCAATTGCCTGATTTTTTCATTCCCATATTCTGAAGGATTCATCTTGCCATAAAGAGCATTCAGTCCACGTGTGCATTACTGTGTACTAATTTAATACATGATGTAGCTGTACAAATTTTGTTTGTACTAGACTTGAAAAAAATATAACTCGGCACTCACTCCAGTGAGTGATAGAGAGCGCATTTTCTTGCCGACGAAAACGAGAAGTCACGGACGGACGGACAGACAGACAGACAGACGGACGGACATGGCGAGCACAATAGTGCATTTTTTCCATAAATGAGAAATACGCTAAAAACAGTGTCACTATAATTCCTAATGATTGTTAATACTAGCCAAATTAACGAAAATATTACATTGTTGTATCTTTTACATATGTCTTCATCATAGTTAGGGCCGTAAACTTTACCAAAACATTGATTATTTTTCTTTATCAATGTTTTTATTTGGCATTCGCAGTTAGTAAACAACCTAATTCTTGTACTCTAAAAAAATTTCCCACATTATTTTTCAGAGGCTTATTTGCAGCTATCACATGGCATTATTTCGGAATACTTGCCACCGCTTCTGTCTGAAAAACTGCGCGTAGCCCTTGATCTTCCCGACCCTTCCAAGCATGGAGTCAAGCAAAAGGCAACCCACGAGGCCGTGGGACAAAAGGACCAGAAAAAGCCTAAATTGGAAGGACCTTTGGAGGACTATACCTGTAGTCCTGGGGCTGCCAATAAGGTAGGAGTTATCTCGGAACAATTATTCACATTTTATTTAGGCCAAACGAGAGGTACAGTTCTGCTGAGTCGTTTTTTTGTAAACGTCTCGGCAATCTGTTTGAATTGTATATATTGATGGAGTGGTTTCGTTTTCGAAAATAGTGTTTGCATGTAGTGAAGATATTTTTAATATTTCATGTACTGTGATGCCTTGTCATTCAGCTTGAATTGGAAGCCGCTTAATTATGGAAGGGCAGTAAGGCAGGCCAACATGAGAAGGCTCATTAATGTGACGCTTAAGTTTATTCCTTATATCTTGTGCAGGTGAGCCCGCCTCTATCGGCTAAAGCAAAGGCCCTCGCTCGGTCAGCTGTGGGAACTAAAAGCATCATGTCGTTTTTTGCAAAAAAATAATCTATGCTATAATTTTTATCCTTGTATCATTTTTCATGCACTGTAATTATTCCAACCAGGATTTATAAAAGTCTACCAGGATTTATAATATTAAAAGATACCTGAATGTGCCTCTGAAATCATTTGAGATAAGAAACACAGCTGAATAAATTGTAGTTAACACTACGTAATGCTCCAAAATGAACCATGAAATTAGGATCATTAAAGGCGATTCAATTATAGCCGGCATTATAAGTAATACCATCACACAACCCTCTTTTAAACTGAAACTTGCATCTCTTAACGTGAACATATTTACGAACTCATTTTCAACAATTTGAATGAGTTTGAGATAGAGTGATAGACGAACAAATTTTAAAATTTTACTCAAATTTGCTTCCGGAATTTTAGAACTTGAAAACGATTAGACCTGTAATACAAAAACGACGTTGCGCTGTTAACCAAACAGCGTTGCATCTCCAACTGGGTCGTGCACTGTCGAGCAGTACACGAGGCTATAATGCTAAAGAGGTGTGTTACGGCAGTGTCCTCACCTGGCTTTGTGTCTTATTGTAGATTAGATTGAAGGAGCAGTGCAAGTGGATTCATGTAGCCTCTCGAAAACTAGCTATGCTTGTGCCGCTCAGAACGGTTTCTTGGACCAGAATATGGGGGCAAATTTACAGTAGGTCAGAACGTTGCCTGGCTGCTGCGCCAACTTCGAAGCTATTATGTGCATGACTCTGAGTCTTATTATTAATGGTTACTGGCCGGGTTAAGGTGAAGACGACGCTAGGTAGAAGACCTCGCCTGGAAAAAGACCACCCCAGTACTCCAGGCGTGGAAGACCCTACTAGATTAGGCTTCATGACGCCTCTGCTAACAAGTAAAATGGGCCTGATTTTACTTCATAATGTTTAATGACAGGCGTATCATTAAACCAAGTACAATTTCTGGTGAAAAAAAAATTGCTCACTTTTTACTTTTTTGTGTGCTGGTCGGTGAATGAAATGTAAATTAATATTAGACGCAACATTCTTCACTTGACCCATACAATCGCTGTTGATCATGATGTGAGAAAGTGTTCAGTGGAAAATAAGCTCGTATTTAGATCTTAATTTTTACTGAATCAAACGATCTACATTAATATTACGTGGGTGTCTTTAACGAGAACTCATTAATATAAAGGTGCGCCCCATAACCCTCTACCGCCGTATGTCATTCTCCGGGAACATAATTTCAACTTAAATTATACGTAAACTATTGAGTGTAACAACCTGAGGACGTTTGTACGCAACAGAGAACATTTTAAAGCTGTCGTATGCGGCGGCAACCATCAGTGCAAGTCATTTTGCGCTCACTAGCAACGTATCTTTTTTACACCAATTCTCTTTAACTTCACTTCTTGTTTGTCTGTCTGTCCGCCTGCTACAAATCTTATAATCGAAATTTAACACACTTCTACTTATCCTATCGATCTGAAATTTTGCACACTCGCGTAAAGTTGGAGACAATGCATGAATCAAATGACGAAATAAATAATGTTAAAAATTATTTTTTTTTTCGATATTAAAAAAATGAAAAAAAAAAAAATTATTTTGTCTGCTACAAATCTTATAATTGATATTTGACACACTTTTACCTGTCCAATTGATCTGAAATTTTGCACACTTGTGTGACGTCGGAGGCAATGCATGAATCAATTGACAGAATAAATAATTTTGAAAAAAAGTATTAAAAAATTTGAAAAATTAATTTTTCATTATTCGAAAATAAATGAGAAATTCATTGAACATCTGTAACATTGGAGACACTGAATTCTTTAATAAAAAGTAATTTTTAAACATATTATTTGGTGTGACAATATTAACCGGTAACTCGTGTCAGGCGGTAGAGGGTTAAATCGGAACTGAGCATCCTTTAATCCAATATGACTCAAATGAGAAAACTTAAAAGTTATCGACGAAAAGAAGCTGGAATCGTTCAATATTTTTTTTTTAGATTGACAATCAGTACCCTTAGGCCATCAAGAAAACGAATGTTCGTTACAATTTTCAAAGAGTTCTTGTGACTAACGGGAAGCGGGTGGTGTCTGAAAGAATTTTTTTTACAAGATTTGAAGAATTCATTTTAGATTGATATTTTAAGGTTTCATTATCTTGTGATAAATAAACAAATTATTATAAAAAGAATCGCGTGTGCCGGGGTCATTATTCGCAGAAAATGTGTCAGCGAATGTTGACCTACATAGCTCTTTGATACAAACGGAGGTATTTTTCTTTGGCGATGCTGCTGGCGCTGCAGAAGGCTCCGATGACGCAGAACAACTGAAATAGAGGGAAAACACCAATTTTGGAAAAACGCTAATACACTAAAATTTCATTCTCATTTCGCTATAACAGAGGAAGAAATTAAAAAAAATGAACATTATAGATAAAGAAAAACCTTAATTTCAGGGGGATTATTGAAAATTTTATAGAAATTAAAGAATATTAAGAAGCTTTTCAATGCAGCGTACCATCTCAAAATTGAGATAATCATTGAAAAATAAAAGTGTGAAAAAATAAGATAAACGTACACAATACTATGGGGTGTCTTCTAAGCTATTTTGGCCGTCTCATTTTTACTGGGAGTAGATGAGAGGGACAAGACAGAAAAGGAACAATTTCTAACGATTCGATTGCGAGTCGTGTTCTTAAAGTCCCATCTTTTATATAAAAAAAACAGGTAAATTTCTTCGATAAATAGCTTATTCGCCTGAAAGGCCAGGTTTTACTATGCTTTTCTTCATGATTCCCATTAATATAGAGGCATTTAAAGTATCTTGGGACCAGCTGTTGTATGCCATCGTCAAAGAATCTTGCCGCCTGATTAGACAACCTTATTAGACAATTTCGTAAAGAACAATTCCTGAGACATCAGGAAACTTTTCAGCTGAGAACAAAAGTAATTTTTCACTTTCACTTTACGTCTACTTTTGGAATCAGATAATCGGTAATGACCGAAGGTCTCCCACTTCGTTCCTCAAATCAATGTTTGTGCGGATATTTTTAAAGGCCCTAACATATATCACAGCACCTTTCCATCGCTCATAATGTTTTCACCATACGCTTTGCTGATTTGGCTATTATATATTGACTAATTTGAAAACTCGAGCACAGAGAAACCCAAGTACTTCACCAGTTGGCGAGATTCTCAATAGGTGGAGGGAGGCAATTTAAAATCATGTTAACAGATGTACACGCGATGGGATGATGGTTCCGTACTCGCGTCTGTTGCTTCGTGGTGAAAATGCGCTAAGGGGCGGCGCAGCGATGCGGTGACGTAATTTAAAAATAGTAGTACATAGTCCAAAAACACGCCTTGTATAATGACCATCAACATTGCAATAAAATGTTATATAGCGAATAAACTGCAAATTTTCTCAAATTTACAACCCTCACTGACCTGGACCGTGACCAGCACCAGTGCCAAGATGCCCAGGGCAAGGAGCTGCTGAGAGAGGTCGTCGATGAGAGCCTCGTAGCAGCCCCTGGTGTAGAGCGTCTCCTGTAGCTGGGTTTGCGTGAGGGCGCTGATATTCTTGTAGCAGAATTCCGGGGAGTTGTCCTTGCAGCAGCCTGGCGTCACGCTGTTCTCGTTCAGGATGTAGAACCAATCCTCGTAGCTGTTCACTCCGCAGCATTGCAGCTGTCATCAAAAATGTGTTCTTATTGCGAACAAAACGTTCACGCCGCAACATTTGTGCTGTCAACAAAAATGTTTTCTTATTGCGAACAAGACGTTAACGACGCAACATTTGTGCTGTCAACAAAAATGTTTTCTTATTGCGAACAAGACGTTCACGCCGCAACATTTGCGTGAACGATATAATTCTCCCAACGATATAATTGAAAATGATTGCCCAATCCTAAGCATAAAGGCATTCATTCTCTAGACATGAACTCAATTTTGAAAGCATAATTCGTGAATTGCAACTATTCACCGGGTAATGTGTGCGAACAGTACTTAACCATTGTGTAAATGGCGCCATTATCGAGAAACAGGATTATTTTTCCTAATTGTAATTAATGATCCCTTTTGAAAAATTACGATCTATTCTCTTGTCCACTTTGCTCACATCGTGTTGGGCAACATCGATGGCATCCTGTGTCGTTTGGTCATTATCGTTGTAGAGCTCCAGGGCTTTAAACATCCTATCCTTCGTGATGTCGCCCGCCTGCTCCCGGAACACCAAGATCAGCACGCCGCACACCAGCTCCATCAGCACGAATAGCAGCACCAACGAACCGTACTGTTGAAAATAGAGTAGAACTTATCACAAATCTGCACAAAAATGATCACAGCTTAACTCTAAAATTTTAATATTCAATTATTCCTATTGTAATAAAAATGGAAATGCATTAATGTATTAAACGCCGTTTACAACTTTGTACATGCATCTACGCAACATACCTGAGTCCACTACAAGGTGAGGTTTTTTATTGGTAATGAAGGGAAGGCATCTAAAGTTTTCCCTTGTTTCAAGTTTAAACTCATATATTTGCTAATCTAAACGATTGACATTCATTTTTCAATTCAACCACAAGAGCAAAATCCTATTGGATCTTAATCTAATCGGTGCATATAAAATATGAGCAATGCTTACAAATCTGAGCATGCATGTGGACTTCATGATGACCCCGCATGCGCCGAAGAGTGACAGGATGGTGATGAAGACACCGCCTATGAGGGTCCACATGGGCAGCATCGTCATGTTCTCGATGAAGATTACGTCATACGAGACGGATGTCTTCAAGACGTAAGAGGACAGAGCAATCACGGCAACACCAACCATCTGCAACGTGGAAATAAAAGTTCGCAAATTAAATTTGGATAAATAAACTTGAAACCGACGAGTCTTTAACACTGAAAAGCTAATGTTAAGAGTTCGTGACGGACGTCTTGAATACGTATGGCAGAGCGATAACGGAAATACAAACAACACACATGGTTGAACTAATATAAGGTTGACCCAAGGCGATGACGATTTTTCGCCGTTGTGCGCATCTCTAGAGTTACGTCATTGTGGGCACAAAATGTAAATTGTGTAGATCAACGCATGGTTTTTATGTTGGCCGTAGGCCTGTCGCCGATTCTTAACATCGCAGAACATTCACAGCATTTTGCGGTCTCGAATTCGCAACTCACTGCTACAATTTTGCTTTGCTTAACCGCCCGGCCTCCTCGCCGATTCTGACCAGAAACTGGCGCACTGAGCTGGGATCGAACCTGCGCCTCCCGTCGCGCCAATCTTGGTACTCTGAACTTTAACCACTGGACCACCCTGCCCTGGTTATCAACCATGAATACCACCCACCTGTACCGTAGATAAATTTTTTCAAAATTTAATTTTAATAAATTAAACCCACTACGGCAAGTATTAAACATCCGAAAACGCATATTAAGAGTTCGCTCTCATCAATTTTAAACACTTTACAAAGCAAGCAAAAAATTTTGGCTGATTTATCCAATGTATAGCTTTTAATTTTTTAACATTTACTTTCATTGTTCGTAAATCGACTTGTAGAGGCTCGAACTGCGATTTTTGAACCACAAGAACCCCATTTTTGGGAACAAAATATTGCTCCATAATTTGTCGCACACAAATAAATAAGTACACTCAAGATATTTTGACTCAATTTAAAGGCATCTTCGAGAAAACAATCCCATGGAACTGAAGCCCACTTGGCCTGCTCACCAGGACAATCAGGTTGATGAGGAGAAGGAAGCAGTTGGTAACGCAACCCATTTCGAGTGCAGGGATTTCTATTCGATCCTATCAAAAACGACGACAAAGCTCTAATAGGCTTTAAAACTACAGAAATACGTGTACCAACGTCTATATATTGTCAAAAAACTTCTAAAATAAAACTTATTGAAACTGAAATTCTCGTCGACTATGCTTAAAAAGTCAGCAGTCTTCAATACAGATCGTATCAGTTCATTGATACTAGTGCACTGAGTCACTAGTGATGCAAGAAGTTGCTGTAAGTTCTTGTATCTTATCAGGCTTATCAGCAGTGAGTCGCCAGTGTTCTCTGTGATGTGACATTTGAGAGGCTAGCGCGTATCAGAACATTATTAATTGCTGATGAGCCATGGAACCAATCAATTTCCTTTTCAAAGCTGAAGGAGCCATTGCTGCGATCCACAAAAAGGAAATACATAGGTTCAATTTGGACGAAAAATCAAATAAGCTACGCCTAAAGAACTCACTTCAAACTAGAATTGAAGTTAATAACGAAGCCCACCCAATGGCGTTTTCAATCAATGCTAAATGACTTAAGAATTATTATTATTAAAGGCATTCGATGCCAAGTAAGTTTGATTCCTACATACAACGCACTAGCATTGAGTGCGGTGAAGTCAATTCCAACACGTACAACAATGTCCATTCAAATTTCAATATCGCAGTGGATGCAGTTTTATTTGCGTTTTAGTGAGCCTAAGTAGAAAATGAATTATTTCCGTCGCTTAGTTAGGATGTAGTGTGAAAAAACAATGAAATACGAAATTATCTATTATGCACAATTGAACGACAGCATGCATGTATTAAACTTAAGCCAAAACTATTTCAATTTAGAATAAACGTGCAACATTATCTTCTGAAGGGCGTCAGGAGGGCCGCCATTTCAAGTATGTAGTGTTTATTAGGTAAGCAGGCAATGAATGAAACACTTCACAACATTTCATTAATTATCGCTGAAGTCACACAGTTAATGCTTATCTACTAAAATTGTACTCGAGTGAAAATCTTGCAACTAAACGGCATCTTCAAACCGTCTCATTGTGTCATTTATTCATGCTATCTTCATAACAAGTCAGGGCAATAGAAGTTCCGATCAAATTATTTCTGCTCATGATACGAAGAAATTACTAAATGAGAGATGTAACAATGAAGTATCAGGGCCTTGCTTCTCTTGCTCTGAAACTGCGATAATTTCATGCAAGGAAAATTTTAGGTGATTGGGAGCAAATCATAGAAAGTTATAAAGATCAGATATAAAGAATAAAACAACACAATTTAGATATAAAGTTAATGAGGATGTATTCTCGCAACAGATTACACAGCAATACAAATCCTGTTTCTGAACTTTTTTATTACTGGTAGAAACATATAAAAAATGGTGCGAATACTTCTAAGACTTACTTCTTACTTCGATCAAGGGCAATGTTGAAATTATGTGAAATATTATTGCTTTTTGGCTAGCATTACAAAACAGGAACAATATCTTGTCTGTGTAGTAGATAAGTCTTGAGTGAATAACAAGCTACAGTGTAAAAAACGTATTCTAAGATATAGATAGGTCAAATGAAAAAAATTTCTATCCTGAGGTACTGCTGGATGACGGTCCAGCATCAGCATCCATTTTGTCATTGGTGGGGCTTGGAGTGCAGGAATGATCACTGGAGTTGGTGACATTTTCCTTCGATGGAGAAATGGGTTTGAAGAATCGAGAAATTCCTTTTTGCCATGAGGGAGTAGGCTGGGGGTTGTAGCTGTTCCCACCTGATCCTCTAATGAGAGAAAAACTGTTCAGAAATCATTTCATGCTATTTACTATTTCTAGCCAACAAACAACAATATGCTCACAAATTTAAGAAGATTGGTAACAGCTAAAAAGAACACAACTATCATAAAAATTTCATGAACAAAGTGTTAAGTGTGACAAGTAAAGATAATTTATTTTGAAATAAAGATAGCACCAGTGCAATCAAAAAATCGAAACTAATGGTTTAGTTTTTGGGCAGATTTAAAGAAGAAAATTCAGGGATGTTGATTAAAATCTAACAAATTTTATGACTTGCCTCTCTTTAGAAGAACCAGCTTTACCAAGAGGAGATGCACTAGCAGATGAAGTCATCTTTCTTGGTGCCTTTGCAGCTGACACTCGAGTGCTGCCAGCATCAGCTTTGGTGCGTACCATGATTTTTCAGAAGATTGCTGCTGTCAACAAAGAATCTGAAATTTCAAAGTTCAAACAGATACTCATCAGAATGAAAATTTGAAACACTGACCAAATATATTAGAAGCTCATATCAGTGTACATAGCTAATGAAAATGAAATCAATATGTTGTCTGTTTTTTTTGGCAGCAAATTGTTGTTAAAACAACTGGCATTAACAACAGCAAAGCAATTGCTTTCTTTAAACAACAGCAAAGTAACTTGTTAGTTTGGTAGTAATTTAAATCATGAATTGTGCTTCCAATTCTAAAATTTAGCCAATTCTATCCATATTGCCTCCCTACACTCACACACTTTACCTTCACTGGAACACTACAATATCTCAGGTGGATGGTGGATCAATGTGAACATCAATTTAAATAATTCCATCAAATAGAAAAATCAGCCTAATCAGGCTAGCCAATGTGCGCATTCCATTTTGAAAGTCTATGGTTCAGTATTCCAGTAAGTAATGGAATACTGTAATTTAAGGAGGAATTTTATTTGTAATTTATGGAGTAACTTGCTTAATACTCTAATTTCATGGCTCCAAGTACAAAGTGACATACTTTCAACTTAGGATGTTATCATGTGTGATGATGTGACATTACTGACATGAATGTCTCATACTGAGTCATACATACCCATTACCCAAGATTATCAGTGGAAAACTTCTACTTTTAAGGAAATAGTATAGTTAATTGGTTATGCAATATGCATACAGGATACAGCACAATCAATGTGAAAGTGTCCTATGTTTAGATATAAAATTGCACAGCTTGGAAAAATATAAATTAAAAAACATTTGCCTCCTTGATGCCAACTGCCAAGGAGGGAAAGGCAATGTCAATGACAGCTGATGCCTGACAGGCTGACAGGTTAGGGTATTCAATATTATCAAAGCAGTTTTTTACTCTTGTATGATGTATCACAAGTATAGACTCTTTGGTGGTCAACTTAAGTTATAGGACTAAAAAATGAACTTGAGAAAGAGTCTAAAAAAACTCTCTGCTATGCCACTATGCGTCTATGCCTATGGACTGTAGAGTGTTAAGCAATAAGCTATAATCATAGTATGATAGTGCCTGCCACAGCTCACAGTCACCACTCACCACAGGCACCACAGGCATAGTTGCAATAGACTAAGAAGAAAATTTTTTGTTGCCCTTCATCGAATTCATTTTTGAGTCCTATAAATAACTATAAGTATTAAGTAGACTAGTAACTTACTAGGTATCTAGTATATTAGAAACCAGCATTATCATTTATCTGTTATCATACATGAGAAATTTATTCAAATATATGAAATATTGAGTGGATGAGGAAATTAAAAATGAACTGCTTCTAAAAAATCTCTGGTTTGCCAGTGGGCAGTGGCAAACCAGAGATTTGCGAGAATACATCCTAATTGCAAGAAAACATCCTGATTAAGGCATTGACCATAGTGGCAAATCGCCACTATGGTCAATGCCTTAATCAGGTTAATGGACACAAGTCACATCACAGCCAGTCAGCCACAGGCACTCAGCATCTCAGACAGGCTCAGCCCTCAGGCCCAGGCAGACTCAATTAATAAAAACATATGCCACAATGAATTATTTCAACTCAAAAAACTTCAAGGACTAAGACTTAAACTAAGCCTACTACGGACTTCAACTCTATGTGCTGGAAACATAATCAACTAGCTTTTTCATTACAGAACCTTCATAGAGCTACAGCTACGTAGTACGTACCGGTAGCGGTGGAGCCGTTTCAGGCGTTTGTATTGCGCGCTGAACAAATCTTGAACTACTTGGAAAGCGCGCTGTTTTTATGAGTACGCTACCGTTTCCTGAGGCACGGAAAGCTTCGATCAGGAACGCGTTCCTTAAAAAAGTAACAATGAGCTGAAATATGGAGTCTATGTCTATGGTTGAACTAATTCAAGGTTTTCCATAGTGCAGCTGCGCCCTGCGTATGTCATTTGTTAACTGTAACGTCACCTTTGCTCTTGTGACGTCAAACAGATTTGTAACACCGATTTTGCTTAAAATAAGACTAGTTGCATGCAGTAAATAAATTTTCTTGGGGCATTTCGATAAGGTAAATTTTTTAAATGCTTTCATAGATGACATAAAAACAATGTGTTGATTTAAACTATTTACATTTGTGCTCACAGTGACGTCACTCTAGAGATGCGCACAACGGCGAAAAATCGTCATCGCCGTGGGTCAACCTTATATTAGTTCAACCATGCGCCAAGCTTCTGAAACAGCAGCCGGCTGCCAAGTCTTGATTGTCATTCATGAACCAACAGAAGTGATGTGCTGTCGTTTCGAGGTGTTGTGCTGGCGTAGGTGCCTATTTGCGAATAAAGCCTGATTCCGCTGAGCTCAGGGGCCATACTCTCAAAACTCGTTAAGTAAACGTAAATACTTACGATATATTTTCTTGTCTACGATTGGTGAATTTTGCTTGAAAGGCCGTCAATGATTGGCTGATGAACTTACGATCTCTCAACTTTTTTTGAAAGTATAGGCCCTGATTAGCTCTCTTATCGTAATAAGAAAATTCTATCCGATTGGTGCTCCCAGATGTAGTTGGTAACACTAGGTGCAGTTAGGGCTTCCAGATGTTGGCGTCACCAGGTTTGGTTGGTCCTCAGAAACCCTCCCCGTTCCCAGCGTGGTATTTTCCCGGGCGTGATCTTCTCCATGACGTTCTTTCATTCATAGCGACAAACATTTTTTAGTAGCCAGTTAATTTTCCGATTTCATTCAAAATCCTATGATGTTAGCGCTGGTATTCATTATACTGGTCCACTTGTGTCTTAATGAGACAGGTAAACAAAGAAGCCCCGTATTGCTACAGTGCCTGCACTGAAGCCCCACTATAAGGGGCTACATGAATTCGTTTCCAATGCTCCTAATCGAAAAAAACCTGAAACTTTAATACAGATTCACAAATCAATCCAGGAGTTTTTTTTCTTCTGTTCTCGAACAGTTTCAAGGGTCATGGAAAATATTTGTCAACAGATAAAAAAATAAGTATTTGTAATGTTTTGAGCCATTTAAAAGCTCTAGCTTTAGACTAAAGTAGATTTTCCGAAACTAAATAAATGTAACACTCTAAACGAACAGAGAAATTTGCTTATTCATGACTAGTCGGACCCAGCTGGGAATCATAGGATGAATAAAATCGTGTTCGTCCGTGCTTTTTTTTTAGAAATGTGAGTAGCAACACAGAACTGCTTAGGCAAGAGACATAAGCACCTATCAAAAATGTATACTCAGAAATCACGATTGCGCAGGCAATTAGAAAATATCCCTGTAGAGAAAAGTACAGATCTAAGCAGAAGCAACTATTTCTTACATTTTTGTACTAGCACATAGGAGCTAAAAGAGTTCTTATTCACACAATATGAAGCTCTAATCAAACCAATAGAAACACCAACAGGGCGTTTAATTATCAAATTTCATTTTTTCAGACCTTCATGTTGACTAAACAACAAAACTGCAAACGTAAGATCAACGGTACGAACAAAATGTAGTCATAACTACACTCAGGGAATGAAATTGAAACGGCATTGTAAAAAGTGTCCATTATGGAAAATATTGCCTTGCTAACTAAAAATTTAGCACGAGACCAAACTATTAAAAGCCATGTGAAGATTCCGTGTCAAATATAAGTCTTCGGACGATATTTCTCCTTATATCAAATCAGCCACTGGAAAAGAAGGAAATGAAGGTCAGTAAAGGGCATGCTCATGGCCAAAACGAGATGAGATTCGCTTGCTTCTGCTTAATATACATGAAATACTAAATTTTCAAGAACGCATCGTTAATAAAATATTATTTACAGAAACAAGTTTATTATCATAGAAAGAATAAGTTTGTGACAACCAAAATGTTCACGCTGAGGCAACAAGTTCACCATAATGTATAGAGAGGGCAGTTACTGTTAAAGCTTGCACTGAACAAAAAAAAAAAAAAAAACAGTTGTAAAATGCGGCAATGATAACCAAGATTTTTCGAGTTTAATCTCATATAAACTTCTATTACAAAATGACATTATAGTGCAAGACTCACCATTCATGGGCATTTCGTCGATCTGTGTAGAGTAATACTGCTCAATGTCGCGAAGAATTCTGATGTCGTCGCTCTTGACGAAGTTGATGGCTACACCCTTACGTCCGAAACGGCCTGAGCGACCAATGCGGTGGATGTACAACTCACGGTTGTTTGGCAGGTCATAGTTGATCACCAGTGAAACCTGAACACCACACACAGTATTTAGAAACGTGCAAAATTGCCTAAGCTTGAGACTTTTATGGTCCGCCTTTTTATGTTTTTTCATAATCCAGATCTGAACAGAATTATTTTCTATCTCGTTTGATTAAAGTTATTCTTGAAATTGAGCCATTGAATGACTTTCAATCCCGATACATTCCGAACATGATGAGTCAGCCATAACATTCTTAGTATACGTTGAATTCATTAAATTCAACTTTAGTTTGTTTATTTATGTTTACTCGTGAGGCAAGTGGGTTCTAAACTTTAATAATGTTTCATATCTTGTGATCGATGCTCTGCTAAAAAGGCACGAGACTGGCAGGTTTAGAGTATATTAAAGTATCAAACATGAATTTTAATTTGGATAGAATTGAAATGAACTGGTGCTGAAAGGTTTTGTACGGTGTTGACCGTACAAAACTTTCTTGATTGTTTCTTTAATATCAGTACTACCGTACTACTCTCATCAAATTTTAATATAAATGCCAACAATTTTTGCATAAAAAGCTACATTTCTAAGAGACATCAGGAACATGCATGATCCTTGGACTGGAAGGCATAAGCATTTCAGGAACACCAGAGATAATTATCAATTAATATATGAAACATCAATTGATATTTAAGCCATGGAGAGCATAATAGCCTTGGGAGTAATACAAATTTATGACACACCAGCCACTACACTTTGCAACCAGATCACTAGCTGAAGAGATTCATCAGGACTTGTACATGATATCACACCACTTCATAGCACAGCTGTCATGACATTCATTCGCATTATTTAGTTCAGAAGCCATAATTACTGNCTCTATACATAATTTAAATCACTTCTCCTGTTCAGTTTGTGTACTTACATACATTAAAATACGATTTTTCAAGTGTACGAATATTTATTTCCCCCCACTGTATATATATATAAGCATTTCAGGGACACCAGAGATAATTATCAACTAGTGTAGAAAACATCAATAGATATTTAGGCCATGGAAAGCATAACCTTGGGAGTAATACAAATATATGACACCAGCCACTACACCTAATTTGCAACCAGATCACTAGCTCAAGAGATTCATCAGGACTTGTACATGATATCACACTACTTCATAGCACAGCTGTCATGACATTCATTCGCATTATTTAGTTCAGAAGCCATAATTACTGGCACTTCAAGTCGAGCAATATTCAATATTCACGACCATAAGTGCTCAGAGCTATGAGTAGGTGCATATAACAGGTTTTCGCCACTCACCTGCTGCACGTCAATGCCTCGAGCCCAGACATCGGTGGTGATCAGGACTCTGTACTGCCCCGAGCGGAACTCCTTCATAATGGCATCTCGTTCCTTCTGCGGCATGTCACCGTGCATAGATGACACCGTGAAGTTTGCTTCCCTCATTTTCTCGGTTAACCAGTCAACCTAAAACCATGAAGTCAGAGGTATTATAAAAAGACGATATCTTCCAAACACTAAGATGCTATGGTGGCATAGTTTCTTATTTGAAGATCTGGTTTTATCACATATGATCCTTAGTTACATTCGAAGTGAAGCCCAACTTTACACTGCTGTTTTTCAAATTTTTTAGTACGAATGTTAATACCTTACCAATGATACAAAAAATATGTTAATAGAAATTGCTTCCATGAACGAAAATTAGGAAAATACTTTTTACCGTTTATTATATTAATATCTACACAAAAAATTAATGTATGAGAAAAAATTTCTGGTGAGAATAACCTTGCGCTTTGTGTTGCAGAAGATTACAGCCTGCGTGATGGTGAGGGTGTCGTAGAGATCACACAGAGTATCAAACTTCCACTCCTCGCGCTCCACAGCCACAAAGAATTGTTTGATGCCTTCCAGCGTCAGTTCATCACTAGAGGAAATATTTACTGTAAATTGACACCCTATTGCAACAATTTTTAAGCCAGAGTAATCTTAAAAATTCTATAAAACGAGCCGATTTTACATGAAATGAACAGACTGATTCAACATTCATATGACTGAAATACATATTCTTGGTAACCAAACGCAAGTGATAGTAGCTTTTATATCAAACAATGTCTAGATGGCCATTATAATGTTTTTCATATGATTCAACCAGCTATATCTATACTTAGAAGTACTTAACTTAATCCTTTTCACAGCTAGAAGCCTAGTTGACACGTACCGCTTGACCAAAATCCTGACAGGATCCGTCATAAACTTGCTGGTCATCTCAAGGATCTCATGTGGCAACGTGGCGGAGATGAGCACGACTTGTGTGGCGGGTGGCAGGTAGCGGTACACGTCGTAGATCTGCTCCTTGAAGCCTTTGTTCAACATCTCATCAGCCTCGTCCAGCACTAATATCTGTAAAACAAACAAGTTAGTGATTTTTAGGCAAACTGGCCAACTAACAATATATAACAGTATATAAAATAAAAATAGAAATGTTAAAATATTTAAATCTTCAATTAATATGCATTATTTAATTCATATGCAGCATTTTGTTGTGATAAGGAAGCATTAATATCAATCAATGAGAGGGAGAAAGTATTCACCTTGATGGAGCGCGTCCTCAGAGTGCGGCGACGGATCATGTCAAACACCCTGCCAGGAGTTCCTGACACCACATGCTGACCAAAATCCAACTTGCGGATATCTTCTCCCAGGTTTGTGCCACCAATGCATGAGTGACACTGAACATTCAAGTAATCTCCAAGAGCCAGCACAACCTGAAAATTGTAATGACATCAATAATGCTTAAGGGGCATGAGAAAAAAAAATTAATAAAATTTCTTTCAATTCAAAACCATACACAAAATGAAAGAATGTAAAGGTCTGGAACATTTATTTTATGTATCAGTAAAATTCATCTTCTATCACTGCAAGAGCTTAATATTTACACTGACCTTTTGAATCTGAACAGCCAATTCTCTTGTTGGGGATAGGGTGAGGACTTGAGTTTCCCGGACACTGATGTCCAGGGCCTGAAGAATTGCAATAGCAAACGTAGCAGTCTTACCAGTACCCGACTGAGCCTGAGCAATAACATCTCGACCAATCACAATGGGGCGGATAGCACGCTGCTGGATGGCTGAAGGCTTTTCAAACCCTGAAAAAAGTTAATAAATTGCTTTAATTAAATTACCTTGTGAAAGTTTTCCTCCGTAGGAAGAGACCATGAGTAATGTTCTATAAAGGTTCCAAGTAAGTGCGATTAAAAAAATATAACTCAGTACTCACTGCAGTGAGTGACAGAGAGCGCATTTTCTCGTTGACAAAAACTTGAGGTCACGGATGGATTGACGGACAGACAGACAGACGGACATGGCGAGCACAATAGTGAATTTTTTCCATAAATGAGAAAATGCGCTAAAAACATTATTGCAAGTTGATCAAGCTGTAGGTGGCTCATTAAGCTTTAAGCTGCAAATTGATTACTGACAGTATTTATATCCTCATTTGTGCAGAAAGTTAAGCCTGCAATAATTCATCCAAATAATAAGACCTTGAAATGATGAATCACAATATACATATAGTAGACACAAATAAAGCAGACACAAGCAGAATGTATCAAATTTGTACACTTACATTCAATAGATTTGTTTATGCACATAATACTGCACAAGCATAATCACTGGCTTATAGAAAACCAATTCGTCATAATTTTTGTCACATATGGTACCTCTGCAGCATTAATAGGAGTAAAGTTACATATAGAATACTATATATACTTGCATAAGGATCTTCTGTATATTATGCAAGATTAAAGGTAAAAGGATGATTATGAAAATGTGAGTTCAACAAGTACTGTACATAGTTTGCCCTTAATAATTTTCTAAAAATTCTGTCCAATATTCCAGAATGGTTTTCAGAAGAAAGAAAACTACATCAAACTTCAAGATTCCTTGCCCAAAATGCATTGTTGCAGGGGGAGCTATAACAATTTTTAGCCCAACCCTTTGGCTTTCATGCTCGTTTATTTAATGTCTGTGCTGTGTTTTCTCATTATGTAACTGTTAAAGTAATTTTTCTTTTTCTGTTTTTTCTCTCTAGTCCAGACAAGGATGTAAAATGTTTAATGTAAAGTAAATTCCGAAGCCAAGCATAATCCTAATGCAAAATCCCAATGAATAACTGCACCAGTATGGGACCCTAAGCTAACTCACCACTTGAGAGGAAGTGAATGATTATTTATTGCATATATTCATTTATTACTCAATTGATGTTGTATTACAAATTGCTTATATTTTTGTGATTTTGCTTTGTTTTTTTGATTTTCTGTTAATTGTATTCAGTGAGTTTTAATTCTGCAAGCTATATATTTTGGTGTTCATTAATTCTTCATTAAGCTGTTTGCTGCAATATAAGTTTGCTTGATTACTTTTTCTGTATCCATAAGCAACACAGTTGCTTTAAGAAGTCATTATTAAGGTTCTTGATTATTACTGTTTTTCTGCTTGTTAATTATTGTTTGTTCATATTTAATCCAATTCTTTATCTTATAGTCCTAGGCTGTGATGCATAAAATTAATAAGTTTTACTTTCTTCTATGGCAGATCACATATGCATCTTTTCCATGCTCCTATGCACATTGTCCATGCTCCTATTCTTGTTAGTTCCATGCTCCTATACTAGGAGCATGGAGCATGCTATACTCTTCACTCAGTTATGCACCACATGTGTTCATTTCATAACCAAGAGCCATTTAATTGAAATGTGATCTAAATTCTGTTTCATTTGTCAGTAATAAAAGATCAAGATTAGTCTCATCATTATCCGCACCCCAAGTAGGTTGTTGCCAACCTATCAAGTAGAAGAAGGCAACGTGTTTGCCTCACCCGCGGGAGACACGTGGCAACAGCATGTAAAATGGTATTTAAATACAAATAAGTCAGCAAGCCACAAGGTCTTCTCAAAGAGTAAAGACACAAAAGTGAAAAATTGGGCAAAAGCCAGAACTGAATCAGACAAAACTTTCAAGATTGTAATGTAAAGTGAGGCACAACACAGGTTGAGGATGCCATTCATCTAACCTAAAGACTCCAAGGCAAACCCATACAGATAATGGATGCCAACATTTATCAGTGAGCAAATGGTAAAATTGATTGGTGAGCAGAACACCAAAATTGATGGGTGAGCAGACAGCAGTTGCCAGTAGGTGCTAGGTAATAAAATGGTAGGCTCTAGTAAATAAAATAACAAGGAAATATGAAAGTTCATGAGTCAGCTTTGGAAAAACATGTTTTGTCATGACCTAGTAAATTTACAGACCTTCTAGAGAATCATATGCTAAAAGTGACAAAGTGTAGAAGCAGCAATAAATTGACTATTAAACCTAGCTTTAGAGTTGTAAAAATAAATTTATATTCCATATTAGACAAATTAAATATGATTCAAGTTGCTTTCATGATAAATTGAATAATTGCGCATTTACACTCCTCGAATATTTGTATTCAGAAAGTGGCAAAACAGCCTCTCAGTGCAGTTTAATGCAGGTAAAGTTAATAAAGTAAGGTTAATAAAGAAAGATAGTAAGATGATGCACTTGTGGAATTTGTTATAGTAGTAAATGTTCAAGATAAGATAAAGAACCAAGTATTCACATTGTAACTGATGAAATTAGAAGCTGGTTTGCTCACCAGGTCACCAGAATAAGAGCATTATGGCAAATTTTGCAACAATAAGCAAGTGCATCCAAACAGCTATAATACTTAGGCTGGACCAAACCAAGAAGTGAATACACATGTATCAATATTTAACAAGCGCCCTTTGCATACAGTTTTCAGAATTATTTCGAAAGAATTTTTCTATTATAATAGTGACATTCATGTTATCTTCAAAATTATTGGTAATAGGAAAATCATTTGTTTGAAAAGTAACAGAATAGAGTGGCCCAAAGACTGGCCTATCACTGATATAGACTTGAAACAGACTTTAAATGTCCTATTGGCTTTTATTACAACTTTCAAGGCATATTACAAAACCTGGAAGATCAAATATTTTATTTCAAGATCAAATATTACTACGCAGTCTTTCTGACCATGTGGAGCAGTTCCCCAGCATATCAGATATATCTGTATTAGTATTGGTTAGTCTTTGTTATTTAGTTGCACATTCATTGGAAGACAGTCTACTATAGAAGAAATATACTAACTTAGGAGTCTTTGCAAGCCATTTAGTATCATATCAAGAGTGGATAAAAACATTGACTGACCTAATTGTGTTTTTATCCAGTACTCCAGGACCACTGCACAGAGAGTGCATGAATATTGCAAGATCTTTGGTGACACTTCAGTAGCAAAATTTACGCCTTCAGAAGATCTTGCCGACACATTAAGATTGAAATTCTTGCATTTAAAGTATTTGTCAGTCTTCGGCCAACTATTTAAATAAGAAAAAGTAAGGTTTCCGGTACGTTGGATGGATCAGGATGCAGTAAAGCTTGTCCGGAAATCAGTTGCGATGAGTTCCTGCCAAAAAATGTAAACAAAATGTAGTTGTCACATTAAAGTGGTCAGACTGCATCATCACATGTTCAGTTGACAATTGCTGTACAATCGGACCATTTTTAGGGTAAAATTAGTTATTTGGGGTAACACATGCATGCAACCTTGTAAATAAGTTTGTGGCTTGTAAATAGTTTTTCATTACTCAGCGTAACTGGCTTTTCATGAAAAATTACCCAACGACGCATCTTAAAATTACCCGGCGACGCTTAGGGGGTAAAAACCCATATATTGGCAACACTGCATCCACCCTCTGCACCCTGGTTTGTGAGTGTCTTCTGCTCAACTTTCCAGTTAGGGCCATTTCTGAATTTCTTCATTGAAGAACAGCCTAGCTAGGTATATACTATATTCACACGCAATTTTTTAAAATCACAGGTGAAACGATGGGTTTTAATTCAAGATTTTAGGAAATTTCTTCCCAAGCAGTATGGAATTCTGTATAGGTAATATATTATCATGTTTACAAAACAAAATGTATCGAAAAATTTACCACCTTACACCTTCTACCGAAGTGACAATTGATATACTCTTACACTGAGCTCGTCAGAAACTGCGGACACCCGGACAGCTGCACTTCCTTTAACTCGCTTGCGTGTGGTTCAAAAACCGATAAAAAGTAGGCGACTCTTCCCTCCAATACATACCTACACTAGTGGTGTATCCGTGTCAACAAATTTTTGTAATGATGTGTTCCAAAATAAAAATAAAAATTATGTAAACTTTCGCAGAAAATTCTCACGATTTCACCGATACCAACCAAGTTCTCGAATCCACACGGAATGATGGGATAAACTGCTAATCTTTCACGGCGTATGGCAACATTAGCTGGTCTATGTTACCCCGTCAGGGCTGACATTAGGTGGTCTAAGTTCCCCCATTGGGGGGCGGCGCCCCCCATTTGCAAACTATGAGACTTTCCTCAAATTTGTTTGTTCCATATGTAACTAGAAGAGTTGTACTACAATGCATCAAAACCTGGAGTTATTTTGCTAAAAAATAAAGAAATTGGAGGGGGTACTCTGAGAGGCTTTGAAAAATAGCTTTTTTTCATGGGTCTTATTTTTAATTTTTTAACCTATTAGATATGCAAACTTTTTAAATCTTTCTATTGTGTTACGTAGCCTCAGTATTAGGCCTTTAATGCCCATTGACAGAATTTTTCCATGTCAAATAGTTTTTGAGTTTTGGGGGTTTTTGTTAAAAAAACCAAAAGTGGTCTAAGTTACCCCGGGAGTCTAAGTTACCCCAGTTTACGGTACGCTTCTAAATATGAATTTATTCATGTTTTTGCCCTATAATGTCAAATTTGTCTTAATAACTTCACTTCACTTCAAATCCTGAATGATTTTGTCTCCCATGGCGAGTTTTCGAACGTCTTGTGTCTTTTAGAAAACATTGGTTGTTTATAAGCAGTAATTATTTTATTTTAATGAACCAAAGAAAGTTTAGTCATCGAAATGCCAAAATCATTAAATTTAAAATATAAAGTTATGAGTGAGATCATCAATTATCAAAGAAGCTGTAAGAAAAAAATCGTTTTGATGTAAAAGAATGCTTTTAATTTAAAAGAAATGCAATACTTGATTTTCAGAAATACGATGCAAAAATTAATGATCCCTATTAGAATACAACAGGCGCAACTCATTCAGAATTAAATTGAAAAAGTGGTACATATTTGAAATTTATGATTTTACAAATTGTTTAATTGAATGCAGTGCAGAAATTCAAGATCACCTATGATTATGAATTTAAGTCTCATGACTGGAGATCTCAAAATTTATTGTACTACCACGTACAGTATGTTTGATACATAAGCTTTTTGTCCTTTTGATGAGCAGAGTTTATTTAGGTTCTATTGACTGTAATAGGTAGAACGATGCGACATATTTGCGGCCATCCAACGATCGGTTGACGGCTCTGACTCTTGATACCACTGTACAAATATTGCGGTGGACACATCTTCCAGAAGTTTCAATGCAAGGATTCTTATTTAAAGGATAATAAATCAATTCGTAGTTGTGTACTCGAATTACTCCCACCTATAGATATAAATGAACATTATTCAATTCATTTTAAATGTTTTTCATGAATTCGCATTAAAATATTCATTTTGAAATCAACCATGTCAAAGTAACGAAATAATTTGTTATAGTTTTAGGCTTCCAAAAATATTTCAAACCTCTATCAGGAATATCATAATTATTCATTCTCTTGCATTGAGTAGGTATATTAACGTTATGAACCGTGCCGCCGCTGCCGCGATCAACATTCGTTTTCGTAGTTGCATGCCGGGCGCCTGCTTTTGTTGTTCTATTTAGTCTCGCTCCCATGAATTGCGTGTTTAGTGTGTGCATCATGGAAAAGTCTGCTTTAAACTTTACAGCGTAGTCACTCACAGTAGCTTTAATCACTTTATCAAGTTTAGTTCTTTGCAGTCATATTAAGAGACAAATCTTTAACAAACTAATACTTTGTATAATTTTAATTGTTGAGTGAAAGCTGCACCTGCAGCCTTGCTGGGATGCTGGCACGCAACATTTCCAAGTGAATTACCTTATAGAAACTTAGCATACCCATACGTGTTTTAAGCCTATAAGAAGTTCATTTTTTTGCCTCAAATAATGTTGTATCGAAAAACTGGTGTATGTGTATCGGGAATAATATATGAACCGTCAATATTAGAATTCCATCCTGTAATCCCAAGTCCCAACGTCAGGCTGGAATTCTAAAATTCGTGGTTCACATAAAAAAAGCATTCTGCCTTAAAAAAAAAACGTTCCAGGCAACTAGAAACAGGTTTGCAGGCCGTCAGAAATTGGCTTGGGTTATGGTAGCTATGATCGTATGAACGTCAAGTCAGGCAACACGGAGAAGGTCCCATGCAAGATTGTTAATTGCACGCGTCACTTACAGACGAGCAAGAGGGATGGATCTACAGAAGGAAATACTATTTACTCTCAACATAATAGTTTCAAATTAAATATAAAAAAAACATTTATGGCACCTATTTGTTACCTCAGCTTTCAAATTGAGGAGAAACTCATCGGCAGTTGGAGAAACTTCTGAAAGAAAAGGCCACAACAAACAACATGACACTTCACAGTTGACTGACTAGAATTGACTCAATAGTCAAAAGAGTACTTGAAAGTCAAAAATTTAGCATTCAAACCTTTACATTCTGTGAACCTTGTGATTTCTTCATTATTAAAACTTTAGAAGGCTCACAATATATCACGTAAAGTTTTCACTAAATTATCATCTCCAAGTTTGGTAGCTTTATCTGCAGTTAATTCAGTTACCTCACACACCGATTGCTTAATGAGAACTAACTAGTAGACAGTAAACACTAACCATCGTTCCCGCCACTTTGGCTGTTGCACACGATTGATTCTGCATGTATAACATTTTCGATTCACGAAGGTTATTAAACCATTCTGTTGAATGCCAGTTACTGATAAATTTGTAATATAGAAGAATTTGTATCTATAATTTTTTTCAAATGAGTACCTATATTGATGGATGGTGTCCCTGTGGCCTGCTACCTTCTTTGTTTATGTTTTTCGTTAAGTTGGTAATCCTGATCATAANAGGCGTAGTTTCGGTCACATTAGAGCGGTCAGACTGCTTTATTACATGTTCAGTTGACACTTGCTGTACAATCGGACTGTTTTTAGGGTAAAATTAGTTATTTGGGGTATCACGTGCATGCAACCTTGTAAATAAGTTCGTCGCTTGTAAATAGTTTGTCATTACTCAGCGTAAATGGCTTTTCATTAAAAAGTACCCGGCGGGTGGCGACGCATCTTAAAAATGGTCGGCGACGCTTTGGGCTTAAAAACCCATATATTGGCAACGCTGCTTCCATATTCTGCACCCTGGGTCAGTCTTTGGCACACTATTTAAAAAAAAGTAAGGTTTCCAGTACGTTGGATGGCTCAGGATGCAGTAAAGCTTGTCAGGAAATCAGTTGCAATGAGTTCCCGCCAAAAAATGTAAACAAAATGTAGTTGCGGTCACATTAGAGCGGTCAGACTGCATCATCGCATGTTCAGTTGACACTTGCTGTACAATCAGACTGTTTTTATGGTAAAATTAGTTATTTGGGATAACACGTGCATGCAACCTTGTATTTGCGAAGTGCAAACTGCGATTTTTTAATCAAACAAAAATTTATGACATTCGAGCCACGAGATTTCATACCTACTGAAATTATATGATATTAGAGCCGCGATATTTCAGACAAAAATAGGACTTTTCCAGACTAGCATGGAATGAAACAGCTGAGGCATCTTGCAGAGACTCATCGGTGATGATGATGGACTGAAAGTGGAAGTGTGCTGGACATTCCCGATTTTTGGGTCCTGCTTTCCGATTTGCTATGTTTACCAGTTAATATATTACCCCTCTGGAATTCCACACTGCGGCGGGCCAACATTCCAAATTGATATGGATTTTGATACAGATATGTTGCCAAAAAGATTTAGCTATTTGCTACCTCTCTGCAGTGATTAGTCTATTTTTTTTTCATTTTGAGATTGGCAGGTGGTTAATCCTCTCAAATTTAACTGATGTTAAGGTTTGATGAATGAATAGACAATGGCAACACAAAATCCTGACAATGGCAACATAAAATTCTTGTTTAAAACCTGTAGGGATGAGAAAGTATCAAACAGTTAGGCTAACACAACTTTCCATTACAATCTATTCGTATAATCCTATGTGTTACTAACTTACCATAGGCATAAATCCCTCGAATGAGATCTTGTTTCAGTCCCATGTTATCGAAAGTAGGGACAACTTCAACTTCTTCACTCGTTTCAAACTCAACATTGCTGAGGTCTTCAGGCAAAACTCGGCGACCCCGTGTTTCAGCCATTTCTTCGAATAGTAAAAGTGACTTTTAATTACTCCTAGAGTAGCCGATATCTTATGACGATTGATGTTAAAAAAAAAACGATACCAAATCACCTTGAACTTCGTGGAGAGTGGAGAGAGCTTTTTCAGCCGCAACGCGCACAATGTTCCGGATTCCGCAAGAAATGTGAAGTTACATTTCAGCCATGGTTGAACACATTTAGCGGTAAAATTTGCAATTTTATTAAGTTGATCAGGAATTGATGTTTTATTTCCTGTCAAAACCAGGCATCCAATTCATGTCATCATGAAATTTTACGGTTATATTAAGATTACTTAGTCAAAATTTGTATTGTCGAAATTTATCACCGCTTTAGTTTCTCGAAAATAATTAAAGTATGCCGTGCGCTCGATAAATTTAGGGCATAAGATGGATACGATTTTAAATTTTACCTTATGTGTTAAAAAAACTGATGAATAGGTTAGCAAAATGTCAAATTAAAAGTACCAACACTAGGGACCACGGCTAATAAAGAAACTGCGTTGTGACACATCAATGCGACATTTCTTCTCGCTTCGAGTCACCGACATGTGAAACAGCCTCCCTAATGACATCGTTGACGCTCCGAGTATGAACGCGTTCAAGAGCAGACTAGACAATGTAATGCTGCCAATGCAGGAGCATATGTTCAGTCCTGAAATGCTTAGCACCTTAGGGACCTGGCAATAGGTCCAGCAGCTATCTCAATCAATCGTCAGTTTGGAAAGATTGGGTTCAAAAGGCCGGATCCCTCGTGAATCAAGTCACGAAAACTACAAGAATCGGCAACAAGCAATGGGTCTATTTCTTCAGTGCCTTCTATTCTATTCAAGAATTCTATTTGTAGCTACTAGCTCGCTGCTTCTAGAAGGAATAGAAAAAAAATATTACTATATTTTATTTTGCTCCCTGGTGATATGGTTTCCGCGATGGCGCGAGGAAATTTTCAGCACACTTTTCTTGTATAATTCAATCACTAAGCAGAATCGTAGGAAATTCTACGACCTGTCACATACAAATTTGATTTGTTGCCTTCTTATCACTGAAAAATTCGGTTTAAATACTTGAACAGGGCTATCAAACACGTTATTTTAGGTAATTTAAAAGAATGTCTGTTATTCAACACGATGTTTTACTAAACTTTGCTTCATACGTATAATAAATTTGCTGGGGCTGTCGACATCAGGAACTCAGGCAGCGCGATACCTGAGCGGCTGGGCACCATCACCAGTTGCCTGGCGGTCCGTATGAGGTGAAGTTGTTAGGAAAGTTGCTCCTCGGCGTGTTAAGACCAACTCATGTTTTCAGTTCGGAATTGGTTTAGTAAATTTCATCGACCACCAAATGTTGAAATTGGATTACTAATTAAATGGTAAACGAGTAAAAAAATAGCATGTATTATAGCAAGTAGTTTCCATAGAGCCTACAACAAAATATTCATGAAAATTAATCATACGATACATTGATGGGAATTGTTGCTGGAACATTTTGCATAGAACCTCTTAATGAGGTTATTACTTCATTTTTGATAACCGTGACATTTGTTTCATAATTTATATTATTTTGCTTCCCTTAAATTAAGATCCCATTGAAAATCTTAATGTGACTGAGAGAATTGACGTTACTATACGAAACACAGATTTTAACAACAAATTAAAACATAAATTCTTCATAACCAAAGTAGAACATAAAATCTAGCCTTATTAAATTTTATTTCATTGTTTCCCCTGATGATGCACACGATTCATGTGCTGAGAAGTATCGATATCGAGACGTCCTCACTAGCCGCCAGCTTGAATAACTTATTCGTGTGACGAATAGTGTCCAGATATAGTCTATATTTCGGCATTCAGTTGACATACAGGAAAGATGGGACAACTTACTGATCGTGTTCAACGGAGAATTTTGTTGTTGGATTCTGCGTGAGTCACGACAATCTATCATCAGTTGAATTATTTGAGTGGAAACAAAATTTCCGTGCTTCTTCAGACTTCAATTTCTCAATCATAGACTCAATCAAAGTCAATGATATGACTCAATCAAAGAACCCAATATAATTGTTTCAATAACTCAGTGTAACCACATGTTAAAAACGTGCTGTGTAATCAGCCTAATAGCTTTTGAGTTACTTAACTAAATAACTTTTTGACAGTCTCCTTATATAGTGTACTTTTTAACTCCTGCTTCTGCGAGGATGAGATACTTCGGAGAAAGTTTTACAGTAAACATATACTGTATTTGCAGTTTACAACAAAGTCTGGTTTAATATTTAATTCTGGACGATACTTGAGTTATCTATTAACGAGGAGAGAATAATTTTCATGACTTCAATTCACAACGTGATGGTATAATCGTTGAGTTGCTATATAATGGAATGATACTTTCGAGTTGCAACAGAATAGTCGGATAAAATTATGAATGAAAAAATTTAAAGGACAGAATTCAGATTTTTTTGGCAGACCAGTATGTATTTTTCATCGGCAAGGTAAGTGGCAGTGCAATCACTGCACTGCCATGCGGTGGCAGGTGGGGCAGCCACTGCACTGCCGTGCGGCTGTGAGAAGAACAGTCACTGCACAGTGCACTGCCAGTGCAATCGAACTTAAGAATCTTTTTTCGTATCATTAATATATATCTTGTATACATATCAAAGAATATATTTTATTTATATCTCTGTAGTGATATCCGTATGCACTAAGTGGTCGGCTGAAGGTTGGCCGTCCTTAATCCTGCCATAATTGTCTCCCGGAGTCACTGCCAGTGCAATCGAACTTAAGAATATTTTTCATATCTTTAATATATATCTTGTATACATATCAAACAAAATATTTTATTTATATCTCTGTATTGATATCTGTATGCACTAAGTGGTTGGTCGTCAAGGCTGAGGGTTGGCCGCCCTTAATCCTGCCATAATTGTCTACCGGAGACGCCAGGTGCTCCGCCACTCCCTCCGCCGACAGGACGGTCCGCTTTAACGGCGCACCTGCGTGTGCGGGCGTGCACGCATTCGTGCGGTGCCCGCAGCCCAGCATTTATTCGTTTGCCTTACGCAGTCACGCACACATTTGTTGAGCGCACGCAGTTCCAAGCGCATTCGTGTAGCACACGCTGCCCCGCACGCATTCGTGCGACGCCCCCAGCCCAGCAATTATTCGTTTACCTTACGCAGTCACGCACACATTTGTTGAGCGCACGCAGTTCCAAGCACATTCGTGTAGCACACGCTGCCCCGCATGCATTCGTGTAGCGTTTGCAGCCTGGCACGTATTACTGCGCCTCACGAAGTAACGTACCCATTCGTGCAGCACTTGCAATCGCTATGAACAAAATCGAACGTTAAATTCTCTAATATTATTTAATTGTTATAAGATCGAAATATTCAAAAGCCTAGCGTCTGGTACCGCGTGCGTATCAGTGCCACAAGGCACCGGCATCGGCTCAACAAATGTGATACAAAAGATTAATTAATATTAAAAAAATTTGTAACAAATTCATCTGGCAGCAGCTGGAAGCAGTAGGAAACTCATTGCATTCGTAGTTTCTATCAGCACTTATTTTTTAAATTCAATATTGTGAATCAATATTGAATCAAAATCGAAAAGACCTTATATGAATATTCGCGCCACAGTCACGTAAACGCGCCTGCATCGCACTTCCTATCTCACATCACAGATTCTCGCACACGTTACATGAACGCTATTACACGTCACATTTTCGATCAAAAATCAAACATTAGCGCAATCATCACATGAACGCACCTGCATCACCACACTCTCCATCACACCTCACGGATCCTCGCACACGTTAAGCCTTCACGTACACGTCATACAGCGAGTGCGCCATACGTCATATTTCTGCAGGAATATGAACACATTCAACTACCTGTTGAAGCATTCCCCCAGAGTTACCTCCCCCTCAGATGTCCATCGTCTCGAAATATTATTCCTATACTCCCCCTTTGGTAAACGAGTGGGAAACCTTTTTTTAGAAAAGACCTTTGCTTGTTAAGGGAACCGGCATCGTGTTTGATGCCGGCAATAGTTTGCATGACGACCTGAACTAGTTTTCAGCGAAAGCCTTGACGCCTATTGATCTTAGACGCCCCCATGACCTCGTTGAGGCATCAAAAGGCATCCACGCGACCGCGCGCTTCTCCCAGCCGCGTGTAGTGACACACTGAAATGAAGATGTCGTGACGAGCGACTCATTTGTGACGAAGACTAAACACGTCTTGTATAGTTTATTATATATTATTATTGCTATATATTACGCGTATATTGTTAACATAATTTTGAAGGTGTATTACAATAGTAAAATTATACTTGTGTTCGAACTTCACTCAACCAGAACAACTCAACAAACAATTTTCATTATTGTGAGAAGCAGAATTGGTTTATCTGTTCACGTTGATAGCCTGCGTCCCAATACAAAAAGTTTCTTTGAATTAAGAGGTGCATCATGCAAAAACCATATTATGTTGAATTATTTCACCAGAAAGATGCAAGATGTGGAGATGAGTCTGAGCCTATTCCCTGAGCCTTTTATAAATCTCTTATACCGATTCAAATAAAAGAATCAATTGCCTTAACAAATAAATATCACATCGGCGTGTAAGTTTAAGTTTTTCGATATATAAGATTTAGCGAATTTTTCTACCCAAATTGGTCAGTGGCAAAATAGTTCAAAAAAGAACTCATTTGAATAATTTACTCCTTTATAGAAGAATCGCCCGGCCTTGAGCCTTTTTTTAACCATGAGAAGTTATTGCATGATTTTACAATCTATATCAAGGGTAAAATTATCACTCAAATATTACTGATTAATTACCCATGTGCTATTGACATCCTAAATACCGATGACTTGACTGCAGGAGTCACAATGTTTATTTATTTATTTATTCCTATGAAGACGAGAATGTGCATGACTGTGAGGTGCGAGGCAAATATTGCTTCATTGTCAGCAGTTGTTGAGAGGCTCTGCGGTGGCGGGCGAGAAGCTCTTGACGCACTCGAGCTCGACGTGGTCGGCAGCTCTTCTGATNGCATACGGGCCCACCTAGTGTTCTTTGTTAACAGACTAGTGGGGCATACGGGCCCACCTAGTGTTCTTTATTAACAGACTAGCAGAC